TTTACTAAATCCGTTCTTCTCTTCAATTGAATTATAACAACAAAAACAGTGGTTCCGAATCAAAATTCAAATTACAGATATACAGAACACCCTAGTTTAAATTAATAACATCAAAAACCCTAATAAGAGGTGAAAGTTAACAGAAACATCCAAAAAACAAAAACATTTCTAACCTAGAAAAATACTGTAGCAAAAACTGGATTCAATTACCTCGCAGCCGGGAAACGAGTTATGAACGGTGGTAGAAGGATTAATTCCATCTGAATCTTCGGCGAAAAACATTCTGGGATCAGCGAAATTGATGCCGGAAGAAAATTTCGCCATCGAACCCGGCGCATCGAGGCCGCAAAACAAGCCGCTAGCGGCAGCAGATGCGGAATTGTCAGTAGTCGGAGCTGAAGAAGACGAATTCTGTAGAAGAATTTGAAGAAACGAAGACATGTCTTCAGATTCGCTGCTTCCATAAGGATCCGCCATTTCACTACTACGATTCATGAGCTCACCCAACACTCATCAGATTGAAAAAAAACAAAAATTGAAGAAACACAAACAAGATTTAAACTTAATTGGGGATTTTCATTTCATCCAGATTCAATAAATTGCCTAATTTTTCCTATTAAACAAAGTTTTTTTCGTGATTCAATAGAAACTCGAAATCACCAAAAAAAAAAAATTACTAAAATTCAGAGAGTAATTCCTGTTTCTGCTATAAATTGAGAGAGGGAGATAATCAGAAATTCTGCTGATTTAGAAAAGCACATTTCATTGATTTCTGATTTTGATCTTCGGAGTGTGAGAAGAGAACGTATTGTGTATTTGTTCATGAGCGAGGAGCTGATGTTTAAAGCATTTATTAATCTCTGGTTTATCCCGCCTAATAGTGCTATATTTTCTACTATTTGCAAATCAGTACCCTAACTTTTTGTAAAATTGTTTTAACTCTTTAAATTTATTTTCCACTATAAAAGAAAATAATTGATTGCTAGTCAGTAATTAATAGCTGTAAATCCAGCTAGCCATATGAAATGTTGCATAAATGCTACTATATACTATATACTATACACTATACCAGGAGAAAGAAAAACTATTAATTATCACATTACTACTCTTGAGGTAATGTCAAATTATGAAAAAACCCTCATGTTTGGATAATTACAATCGCCCTCAATTATGATTTTTTTTACACTTTTATCCTTGCGGTGTAAATTTTGTTGAATCTTCTAGATTATGTGGAATATTCTTCATTTTGTATCCGTTTTACCATTTCGAACTCCACATTTTAAAATAAGATGACGATAAGATGTGTCTCTTTTGGCATCAGAAATTGATTTTTTGCACAAAACGACTACAAAGTAGAGAAAATTCCATGGAATATAGAAAATTTTGTTAAATTTGATACCATAAGAATGGACGTATAAGAAAATTTATAATTGCGTGTAATTGTAATTACTCAAACATATGAGTTTTTTTTGTAATTTGACTTTATTTTAGGGGCCACTTAATTTTCCCAAAAAAGGGTAATTTTTTATTGGATCCGACCATTTAATTTAATTTAATACAATCACACCGTTCATTTTCTACTTTGGTTGGATATCTTATCCAACTGGATTCCACCTTAGCCTAAATCAGATTACATTATTTCAACAGCACCATTCCCAAGGTACTTCCAACTTGCACCTACACATAAATTATTTTAAAAATTGAATGAATTTAAAAAATATTAAATAAATGAATAAACTTAGAATTATTTTACATCATAATGATTTTAGTAGTAGCTAGCTTGTTGTACTATATGTCATCAAGTAACAAATCGAAGAAAAAGTTGCACGTATATATATTTTATTTATGTGTGTGTATATGCAATTGCAACCAACTTTGAGGATTTGGGTCCAACTTGCATAAAGAGGAAAAACAAAAATAAAAATTATAAATATATATATAACAACAATAATAATAATAATAATAATAATATATATATTGAAGTAGAAGTCAACCCATCTTTACGAATGAATACAAATTACTGACCCCAGCAATAACCGCACCTGAGTACATACATAAGTACATACATATATACATAGATACATACATATCATTTTACAATATTAATTTTATTTTACAATAATCACTTTCAAGTGAGAAATATATTTGTAGTTGCATAGAAAATAAATAAATGTAACAGGAAGTATATAACTATAAATTCAAATGTCAAAAACACAACAATAATCGGATTGAAATAGTTGAATTTCGATCTGTCTAAAATGTAACGTTCGCCTACTTACGACTTTCTTACTTCACAAATAAAACAATAATTTAATCCCTCCACGAGGGAAGATCGTAACGATTATTTTCTAAAATTTATGGAGTCGGCTGAAGATCTTTAAATAAAAAAAGGGCAGGGTTTACGTGATGCTGCGAGCGGATGTGTGTCTTAAGTCTCTATCCAAGGTCGAATTTGATGCGTCCCGGTTTACGTACTGAGTCCGGTCGTTTTACAAATCGGGCACAAATTTTTCTGCATGAGCCATTGTTTGATGCAATCTTTATGAAAATCATGTTCGCACTCGAGGGTTCCGAGATCTTCTCCATCATTATATTCCTCCTGCATCAAATAATGCGAATAATTACACTGGAATTTGATTGACAATTTTTGGCAGTCTTGATGAAATATTAAAGTTAAATATAAAAAAAAAAAAAAAATCGTACTCGACATATACTGCAGGGCTCCGTTTGAGCCTGGTCTTCTGCGCTTACTGCCACATATTTCCGTTGCTTCAATCCACCCATTATTTTTTCTTCGTTCAAACCAGTGCATACATTTCCAATGCGGTCCTCCAGTGCCAATAACTCCTGGAAAAAAGTTGAATTGAAAATCGTAATTCGTAACGGGACAACTGAAAAAAATATATATAGATGGAATCTTAAAAAAAATAGATTTTTTTTTTTTGCATTCCCACCTCATAAGACATGTTATCAACATCTAATCGCATATCTCGATGCCGATCGTGTATATCAGCCATCCCGAAAAAGACTGAGTGATCAAGTAACATCACATCCTAGGAGATGAGTAGAGAAAAATAAAATATTAAATTTGAAAGAAAAAAAAAATTAAAAAAAAAAAAAAAAAAGAAAGGGAGGAAAAAGCAACCTCAACCCTCAAGCCCTCGCCCCTTCGCATGAGATCCAAGACGTGGCGAATCTGCTAAAAGCAAAATGTAAATTAATTGCTGTGCTTTTGTTTATAACGGGTTCTTGATGTAAGAAAGAAAGAACAATGTTGAACTGTGTTGTCCGAAATGGTATTGGAAATGTGGGACGGACTAAACTGAAGCGTGCATAAGTTGTCTGAAACGAGAGCTGCAATTTATGCAAGCAACTTATGTATCATGAGAAAGTAACATCATTATATCAAGTGATACACGGAAAATTCTTCGATGTCGTAGGTCCCAGAAATCAATACATTCTCAAACCAAATCCAAGAGCACTACATTTACAACTAAAATCACTTTTTAATTCACATCAAAAGCATTGGTCACAAGGAAATTGACGTGCATAAAAAATTTCATAAATCCACGTTAGAAGCAATCAAGTTTAAACCACAACCACATGCAAAACCAGTAACAAGACGGGAATATCAATCATGATAACATGCTCCAGCCACAAAAATACGCAAAAAAAAGAGGTGCGGTGCGTATAACAAGATATAGATAGATATACCTCAGACATCATACTGCTTCTTCCTTCACCAGCAGCAGCCAAACCTCGTAGCGAATAAGGCAATCCAAAAGCACCATCAATATGTCTCTCAAGCAATGCTGCTCTCGAGTTCGATCCAGACGGAAGTGCCGCCTCCTCAGAGACAGCAGCCGAAGAACTCGCTCTTACAGCGTGGCCGCTGCTCTGACTGCCGCTAGCCTCAGTACCGGCCGTTGACAACAGAGATCTCCGCACAATCTCCGATAGTCTGCGGGGGTATTGTGGACAGCTCCGGTTAGACCTAACAGGCGGCGCAGAAGAATTGACCCCACCCAAGTTCCAATTCGTAGGTTGTCTAGACGAACTTCCCATCTCACTAGCCGGAACAAACATGGGGTGCTCCGATATGCTTCTGAGCACGTTTCTCGAAGTAGATTCCTCGAGAATATCCCTCTCACCGGAACTGCCGGTGCCGGTGCCTCCTGAGCTGGACGATGCTCCGCTCCACCTCGACTGTGTGTTTCTACTCGCAGAAGGGCCCTGTGGTGTCCCATTCTCGACAGGCGGAGATGGAGCCAAGTCGAACAAACGATTACGAAGAACCAGTCTCGACGAATGACGAGAAGATGACACATCAGCATCGGATTCCGTCGGAAATGGACTGCTGCCGCCGGGTGTGTGGTCTTGCTGGTGGGACCCGTTAAAGCGGAGGCGGAAGTTTCGGCGGGAGCTTTCTGCCGCAGCTGCCGCCGCGGATCCTCTGCCGCTCAAAGAAAGAGGGTTTGCAGAGAGAGCTCCTCCAACACCGAGCCTCAGCCTCGGATTCGCCTGCTCTGCCTCGTTAATAGTGATAAGGTTCGAACTTCCTACTCCAGAAGACTGCCCAACATTCGGTTCGATTTCTTTTCTCTTGCACGATATTCGCCGACCATCCAAAGCACCTGGCTGGTTTTCACTCTCGGTCGATGGCATCTTCTCGGTTGATGTATTCGGCCGTTCAATGACGTGGCAGTCTTCATCCTCGTTGTTTCCAAACTCCGAACACATGTTAAGATCCTGAGGGAGAGATTGTGTTTGTGCTGTCTGATTGATGTTTGTGTTTACATCGGTGCTGTCCAATGAAGGAATATTCGATGGGTCGTATTGAGATTCTGTCAAGGCAAAACCAGCACTCGAACTAGTTTCGCCCGAACTCCACTGCATATTGGCCTC